ATGGTTTGTGCCTATTTCTGCCAAAGTCCTCTCCCTTACTCTCTACTCAGACTTAGGATCACCACTGAATTTAACCTAAGGATGAGTATCAAAAATTATGGTCAACACAACCCCCACCCCCGAATGGAGGGGAATGCTGTAGTAAAGCCCAATCCATATTTCTAAAAGTCTATTCTGATTTTGGCAGGTGATGAATTTGAAATATAGATAAATCCAAATATTGGATTCTGTACCCATCCATGCTTCAGATTATCATCTAAGAGTAGCTTCTGGAGTTCTGATTCTTTTTTCTTCCACTTTTTTTAAATAAATACATCTGAATAAGCTTTTGTTCTCAGCATCTTTTCACAGCTTCAGCTTTATCTGAACTTCAGTTCTTCTTAGAGTCCCAAGCTTCCTGTCTGTATTTTGTATATGCTCTCGATTTATTTAGCTCCTCATTGTTCTCTCTCTCTTCTCCCCCTCAAAAAGTTCATGCCACAATTGTTTGTGATTTGTTTTTACTATTTCCTTTTTAAGATTTTTTTTAAAAAGGAACTTATGTTAACAATGCTTCAATATATTTTTGCTTTTTGCGGTCTATATATCTTGGGAGTCAAAAGCTGCTGGGTGGGAAAAGAGATGTTTGAAGGTTTAAGATGTAAAGATTAGAGAGGAGCAATCAAAAAATATGTGTTTACATGGAATGTTTCTTAGACCTCCTGATTCCACCAGGCTGACTTAAAATACTGTAGTTTCTGTCATCCACGTTGGACACCAAAAGGTTTGTGACACTTCAAATCCTAAACACGAGAAAAGGGATCAATACTGATTCTAATCAGAATGAATGGTGCTATCTCAAAGTGCTCTCTGTCCCTCTCTCTCTCTCTCTTTTTTTTTTCTTTTTTCTTCAAGATCCACTTAAGTTCAGACAGGAATAGTCATTTCGCTCAGCTGTGGTGGTGGGCTGTGTGCAGAGAGCATGGGAGCAACAGTTTTGAACTTCCACACTGGGATGTTATTATGTAAATGAATTTCTGCAGAGTAGAAAATCCAGTGCTTATTTTCATTGTTTTTATACCCCCACTGTCCTTTGTTTGATGGCACCGTGTGTTTGGAAAACACTATTAAGCTTTACTGTTCAGTAAGTCAATTTCCATACTTCCACTGTTTTGGTATCATATGCCTGAAAACTACTCGAATCTCGAATTATGAAATCACCCCAAATTAAACTTGACTCAAAGGAGGCTTTACAAGCGGATGCAACAACGGCCATCACTGTAATTCTGAGTCGCTTCTAATTCTGCATGATATTCTCACCAGGCAACCAAAGGAACACTTTTTCCTAGCTAAACTCTTTCAGGGGCCCATCAACTAAAAGCTTATTTTGAGCAATGGCCCCTTTACTTCATAAATCACTCGTTGTGTTGCCATAGCATTCAGGCTAGGAGTGTTAAATCAGTTATTATTACCGAGTGGAGGAAGAATACATTACAGCTTTTCAGGCAGAACATGTATCAGTGAGATATTGATCTGCCCATGATAAAAAAAAAAGAAAGAAAAGAATTGTGCTGAATGGGTTTGGAAACAAAAAGGGGCATTATCTCTGTCCTGCAGTTTGTGTTAAAATAAGGCTCAATCTTAGAAAAAGACCTGAAGTTGCATCTCACTCTGTATCTCTGAGACCAGTGACCAGACACTGATTCAGAAGACAGTGCTCCCTAATCCTAATGGCCTCATCATTTCATTTTAACAATAATGGCACTTAGGGGATGGACTGAACAGAGTTGACATCCCTGGGCAGAAAGAGGTTTCAATCCATTGGTCCCAAAGGCAACTGGACTTCCTTGATCTTTTCTTTGAAAACATTTTGCTTCTCGCTGAAGAAGCTTCTTGGATGAGAAGTGAAACATTTTCAAAGAAAACACCAGGAAGGTCCAGTTGCCTTTTGGGAAAAAGGACCTTTTGGACAACCATGACCTGGAAGATGGGGAATCTCCATAGACATGTCAGGCAGAACAGAAACACTTGGAAAGGCCTGCTCATAAGGTGAACCTGCCTTGAACTCCAGCAAATTCCTGAACTGCATGATGCTTGTGAGGCCCTTGAGGCTCTCTGAAGCTTGGTAGTTTTCTTGCAGACATTTCGTTATCGTATTAGGTAACATCCTCAGGGCTTCATTCAATGCTGCAGGAGAGAGAAACAGGGGCAGAAGATGAAATCTGTGCAGTAGATCCAAACCTTGTAACTTATGCAGGTATATCCAGTAAAGTATAAGTTTGAGAGATGATGTCTTAAAATAGTCACCATTTTCTTGATATATATTCCATTTTCAACTTCAGGCCATGGGACGTTTGAAAAATCATGTCTATTATGTAAGAAAAAGTCATCATCATCATCATCATCATCATCATCATCATCATCATTCTAGTCATTATCCTGGAGGATGAAGGCCTCTTCCATGTGTTTCCAACCCAGCCGGTCCTGAGCTTTTTTCTGCCAATTGGGCCCACCATACTTGCTGATGTCGTCCATCCATCTTGTTTTGGATCTCTTTCGTGGACACTTTTGATCAAGTGGGATCCGTTCTATGACTGCTTTAGTCCACCTGCCCTCAGTTGTTTTTGCTATGTGACCAGACCATTTCCATTTCCATTCTTGTACTCTCTTAATGGTATTATATACTTCTGTTTGTTCTCTAATCCATGTGCAGGTCTTTCTATCTTGTCTTGTGATGGTGAGTTTGTATCTTTCCATGGCTTCTTTTTGTCACTCGTAGCTTTTGTATCGATTGTGGGGTTAGTGTCCATGTTTCACCAGCAGATAGCAGACACTAAGGAGGAAGGAAAAGTAAGGAAAGGTAGATGATTAAGTTTGGAGTTTATAGATTCATCCAAATATTTACTCAAGAACCTTTAAGATGTGGCAACATTGTCCTGGGTAAAGCATAATTTGCAATTGCTTCTTCTTACATAAAGTCCTAGAATTGTCCATTTTAGGTCCTCTCAATATAGAAATCCAAATTAAGCATCATCAACAGATTGGGGTGGTTTCACTTTGAACAAATTCAGTGAAGGAAGCCCACGGCTCTTCTGGAGAACTGGTTTCACAGTCAAACTACTTTTTCTAACAAGTTCCATGTCAAACTGTTCTTAGTGTAGGACATCATTTTCTTTGGAATTTGGAATCTGTGTTCCTGTAAATTAAATCCATTATTACTGGAATGACAGAGATGTATTGACCTTTTTCTGCAGGACAGCTTTTCAGCTCAGTTGTCTTTTCTCAAAAGTAAAAAAAAAAAAAAAAAGTAAAAAAAATATTTCAATCTTTCTTCCCAGGACACAGATTTTACTCCTGACCTCCTTCCTATTGCTCTTCCCTGCATCTGTTCCAGAATCTCTGCATCTGAATCCTTCCTAAATTGTGTAGCCAAGATAAATAAAAGATCAATACAATATTTAATAGCATATATAATATATGAACTTGTCCATCAGCACCTACTTGATGGCTGTGTGAGTGTCGGTCTGGCTCTCTCTCTCTCTCTCCCCCCCTGTATGTGTGTGTGTGTGTGTGTGTGTGCTTCTGTCTTCAAGTTAGAGTTGACCACATAGATTTTGCCATGATGAACTGTCACTAACCTGGTCCTTCAGATCTTCCAATGATGTGTCCATTCCTGCTCTAATTACATCATTCCACCTTGCTGTTGGTCATCCTCTTATTTTTCTTTCCCATCATTGGATCCTTCTCCAGAGAGCTCAACTAGGTCTTCATATGGTATGTCCAAAGTCAGATAATTTGACTCTTCTGATTTGTGTCCATTGACAACTCTGACTTGATGGTCCAATGATCCACTTGTTTCCTTTCTTGGCTGCCCTTAGCAGTCTCAAATATTTTCTCCAACATTAAATTTCATAGGCATCAATGTTCTTTCTATCCAGCTTCTTCAAAGTCCAACTCTGGCTTCCATTCAGTGTCATAGGCTCCACCTTTGCCTGCAGGATTCTGGTCTTTAGACATAGATAATGCCTTCGAGTCAGTCTTGACTCCAAGCAACTATTTGGAGTAGTCCTGCAGCTTTCTTGGAAAGATTTTCCGAAGGGACTTGCCATTGAGATCTCCCAGGGTTGAGAAAGTGACTGACCCACAAATCACTCAGCTTGCTTAAGCTGAGACTGAAACTCACAATTTTCTGGTTTCTAGTGTTAACCACAGCTTCAGATTGGCTCCAAATATTATTATTACTCAAGCTGTGACATTTCCATAACAACATAAATACAGTATCTAATTCAACATTATGATATTCAGGTGTGTTTGTTTTTAAATGCAAGCTATAAAAGATTCACTAAAAAAAAAATACTTGCTTTACTAACCACAAATTTCAAAATGAATTCATTGCCTTGAAATGAGAAAATCCTTTTTTCACTGGCGCTCCCTTGGAAAGCCTGCTTACAGGGATTGGCATTTCTGTGTATTTCGATGTAGGCTTACTCTGATTATTGCTAAAGTGGCATCAGTTACCTAAAGTGGTTCATTCGAGACTCTACCACTTTCTTCAGCTACCCAGAGAAATTGAAGCTCATGAGTCATACAGGAACAGCATGGGAGAACTCTCAGCCAACATCTACTGCATGAGACAGTATTGATGTATGCAATGCGTTCGGTGAAACCGGATTTCATGAATTTTAGATAAAGTGCAAAGCCAAAGCCTGTTGCTTCTCATGCATGATGGATAACCAAGTAAAAGCAATTGAAAGAAGTTCTCCATGTCCCTGCCTCTTAGAATAGGGCGATTTTTAGTTAGTGGGGTATTCATACTTGCCTATTCCTCTCCTCACCTCAAACAAAGCAATAGCCGACTTTATTCTGGTGTGCAATTAAAATGAGAGAGAACTTTTGGTGCCTTAAAGTAGAAATAAACCTATTGCCGAAAGTTTAGTGCACTAACAAGGAACATACTGAGTAATAGAGACATAGAAACATAGAGAACTGAAGGCAGAAAAACACCTAGGGGTCCATTGAGCCTGAGGTTTGAATTTATTTGTTTTTTGTTTTCTTATTTATGATTTTAATTGTTATTTTTATAATTTATGTTTATTGCATTTTTTATCGTTAATTTTTGTCAGATGATAAAATGGGTGACGCTTACACGTTACATAGTCAAATTTTCCTACTTTTAGAAAAAAATAAATTTATCTTGATTGTTTCACTGATAGTGCCAAGTAAAGTATTAGGAGTGTGCCAAAAAATTTAAATAAAAGAAGACTAGTCCACAAATGTCTCTGTAGAACTGACAATACAGAAGAAGATGGGTTGTAGTTTTGATGGCACCCATCTCATTTTCCCTATATTTCCTCTCCAGGACAGATCTACCTGGACTGCCATAATTTATATCCATAAATTGAAAAGGGGATGGGCTAGTTTTTGCTTTGTTTTCCATTGTTTAATGGTGGTAGGGCTTTTTTAAAAAAAAAAGTTCACCCCACTTCTGGGAGTGGGGTAGGATGTGTAACTCACAGACACAAATGTGAAACCTTGTATGTTTTCCAAAGGACAATTGGACACTTGTTACCCTGTGCTTCAGGATTTTTCATCAGTTTTAGTTGGTGTATCTGGGAGAGTTCCAGATGATGGTCCTTACTGTTATCCACAGCTGCCCATCCATAATTTGGAGCTGTTTCCTGAGGGGAAAAAAGAGATTTTTGACATAATATGGAATATTAGTCGGGAAAGGTATTGAACAAACCATTCTAGAGGCAGAAACTAATAGTTAAGCAACTGGTATGTAAGCTAAGGAGAAATCAGCAGTGTGTGAAAATTGATTTCATGTTATTTCCTATATGTGGAAGGCAAAATCACTAGCTCACTACACCTTGATGCACACTTTTGTTACACCAGCTCATGTTGTTACTTTCTACAAATGATCAGGGAAGCCACCTTTTACTGGGTTTTTTTCCGTCCTTTAGCAGAACTCCGTTTAGAATGAGGTGCGGGTGGCTTTTCTGTTGTTGCTATGGACATGTGGACTATAATGCATTTGTCCCACACTGCATATTTTTGCTTAGTATTCCACATTCATAGCCTCCTTTTTAATATTTAAAGAAACCCACATCTGTTTTCCTAGGCAGGTTTGTCTAATTCAGGCAAGCTGCATTCCTAACACTCTGCTTCCTCCATGCTTTTAAAAAATCCCATGCCATTTTTCATGCATATCTTAATCTACTATTTTGCAGACGAAGGCCCAGATTGAATAAATTATTTACCTTGAAAATACCAGCCGACAGCAGACTTAGATCTTTATGACACAATCCAGTCAGTATTGGTATATCACATAATTTGGCTTACAAATTAATGTTGCTATTTGTGACACCCTATTTATTTTGCTGCGAGTCTCCATTACTGCAGCATTTGGCTTGCTTGCATGACACTGCACACATCACTATCCATGCGGCTATCCTCACAGGATTTCCACCTCTCTCCCAAGACTCTGAGATTCTTTTTAATTCACATTTTCCAAGAACTTTTTATTTTGGTATCCAGGATGGAGTTTTGTGTTAGATAAGTCTCCATAAAGTTGTGAAACCCCTCCAAGAACCTTTCCCCACACCTTCAAGTTGAAGATGATCAGAAGCATTGCAGGAGGAATGTTCCCTGCCTCAGTTGCCTTTGGGCAAAGCACACTCTTGATACTTCGTTGTTGTTGTCGGTCAGTCGCTAAGTAATGTCTTACTCTTCGCAAGCCCATGGACCGTAGCTCACCAGGGCCTCCCTGTCCTCCACTGTGTCCCAGAGTTTGTCCAAATTCATGTTCATTGCATTGATGACACCATCTAACCATCTCACCCTCTGCCGTCCCCTTCTCCTTTCACCTTCCATCTTTCCTAACATCTGGGTCTTCTCCAAGAAGTCTCCTCATTCCGTGGCCAAAGTATTTGAGCTTCAGCTTCAGGCTTGATATTTAGTCTAGACAAAAAGAAAATGGAAGTTCACAGATGCCCCTGCTAGCTGTCCAAGTGGATCCTCCTACTTCACCCCATAATAGCCGCCAGGATAATATCAGACATGTTGTTGTCATACAAGTGATGACATGAAGTATTTGGCACCATTGCTCTTCCATAGACTCTTCCAAAGAATGCCTTCACCCTTCTTCTCCAATTACCCATTTCTACTTAACTATTAACATGTGTGTGTGCATGCGTGTGCAAACAAACACGCACACACACACAAACACACACTATTTACCAATCCGCTGACTAGGACTGACTGATTTTCTTCTGATTCCTAATTCATCCAAGGCCCATTTTCCCACTGGAATGTCTGTCATAATAAGCTATGCAGCTCCCATTAAAGAAACTTATTTATAAATATGATTTTGAGAAAGTGATGTTGAAGGGACAAGAGATCATTAGGGATCTTGTATTTTTTTTATCCTAAAAAAAAGAATATTCCAGTAAACTTCCAATAAAAGTGCATGTCCTTCATCAAAGAGTCACTAGGCATTGAACTAGACTAGAACGTCTCCGGGGGAACTTCAGGGCCTGTTCAGAAGGTTCATGGATCAAAATCTGTTCCGTGCATTCTTTCCTCATTTGGGGTTAAATCGTATATGGGGAATGTCCAGTCTATATCCATCTTCAACTGGTGTATTTCAATAATTGGCTCCACTATATTGCTGAAATTTTCTTTTTAAAGGCCAATTGCCCTGAAAATAATTACTTATCAATAAGTAGTTGTCATTTCGGTGGAACTCCAGCTAAATAGGTATTTCTCTCAACCAATTGGAAGGAAGGGAGGGAGGGAGGGAGACTTTTCCCCAAGCAACCAGAAAAAATAAAATATGCCAAATACACAATCTAATCATCTACTTCTCTCTTTCTCTCTTATAAACACAAAGGAAAACCCTCCGTTAGTCAACCAGATAGGAATGTTCCTTATCTTCTTTTAAAGAAATTTAAAACAATTTAAAACTGATATCGGCCTGGGCTTCCTGCTGTTTGGAATCCATTTCTTTCCAGAAGAGAGGACTGATCAAGACAATTCTGGGATAAGATCTGCTGCTTTATGCTCTCAAACACCCATTGTACCAGGAACTTTAGCTCATGAAGATCTGTGCTTTAATTAACCTTTTATACAGTTTTACAAAGATGACTAAAATTAAAGCTCAACGGCAGATCGCACTTGGGGGGAGGTAGTGAAAAGAGGCTGCGAGAATGCAAAAAGCTGATAGTGAAGACTCAAATCAAGAAGTCAAAATCATACTGCAAAAATTTATTTGGCATTCAGCATAAAAAATACTTTCCCTCCCTCCCTCCCTCCCTTCTCAATTTAGTCTTCAGCCCTAGGTTTTCATGTTGCTCCTTGTCCAAGCACTAACCAAGTCTATCCCTTCTTAGTTTTTCAAAGTCATCCAAGGTCAGTTAGATTAGAGGTTCCCAACCCTCTGACCATGGCCTGGCACTGGTCTGCGGCCCTCCAGGAATTGGTTCGTGCAAGTGAGAGAAGCCCATCCATGCATGCAAGGGATCCATGCAGGGTGCAAAACCATGCCTCTCCCCCTGCCCCCCGTCTATAGAAGACCCAGTCCCCAAAAGGTTGGGGGCCACTAAATTAGATGTTGACATTTCTTGACTGATTCATTGATTGTAATAGCCAGCCGGTTGTCTTCATGACCTTTGGTCATCTTCCTCTGCTCCTTTCTATGGTGGGCAATTATGATAACTGTTTGATTTTTTTTTAAATCATAGTAGGACCAGATTACATGGTCACAAAGACATACTGATATATCTCCCTTAGGCTCACCACCCTCCATCCCATCCTCTCATTTCCTTCTTAATTGAGTGGGTGAGGGCTAAGAGAGAATGACTGACTCAAGGTCACCCAGTTAGCTTCATGCCTAAGGCAGGACTAGAACTCCCAGTCTCCTGGATTCTACCCTGACGCCTTAACCATGGCACCAACTTGCTCCCAGGAATTATTTTACTATTTGACAAAAGGACTCCATATGCAGCAAAGGTCATAAAAGTTCTATTTGAATGGATTTTCCCAGGAAGAAGCCTGAACAACCCACACAGCCTTGTAGGGTTGCCAGGTCTGCTTCCAAAAAATAGCGGACAAGCGGGGGAGGGGTTGGTTAAGTAGTAAAAAAATAAAAAAAAATTACAATTAAATTATATATTTTCTTACAAACATTTTAACATGTATTAAAATAATCACTTCAAAACTTTACTTAAAATTCAAAACATCAAATATATTATAATAATATGTAAAATATTAAATTACATTTTAATTTCATCATAAAGCTTTTGAATAAAAAAAATGTCTACTATTTTGTGAAAAAAAATAGTGAACATAATGTGAAAAAAGTGGACTGTCCGCTCAAATAGTGGACACCTGGCAACATTACAGCCTGGAATTAGCACAACGTTTGTAAATATTACAAAGGTACCTCCTGCACCCCACCCCTCCTAAAGAGATTTCCACATTTTACATCCACGGAGAAGATACTGCAACTCTTATTACAAACAGAGAAAATAGCTCTAGAGAATTTGCCCAGTAAACCACATCTGAGTGATGCTGAAATTGTTATCATCTAGGAAACGAAGAAATCAATCTTTGTAAGAGTGTGTTTGCAAAATACCAAAATAAGACAGACTTTGCTATCTTGCCATAAAAAAAAATATTTAGGAAGACAGCCAATGCCTGTCAAAATGAAAGGAGAAGGACTTTTTTATATATGCAACTTAGTGCACAAAACCAACATAAGAAGTTTTAAATTGTCATGTATTTCTCTACTCCAGTAAAAGACCTTTTTAAAAAAATGTCTCCAGGTTTGATAAACCATGAATTGCATCGAAATAGCCTGCATCATTAACTACCTCTGGGACTTGAATGTCTTGTGTTTGCTCACTGCTTTTATTAGTTTGCTTAAATAAATATTATATTGTGTGGGACGCATTTCCTACAACCTTTTCAGTTATTTGCTGCCAGTGAATACGGTGCACTCTATCAACAAAGCTTGTGAAATTTCTGTAAGAGAAACACCCATTTCAGAGCATTGTCTCTGGGTTAGGCAAAATAATGTTCCTGACGAGAATCATTAAGGAGTGCAACTTGCTTCGGGGGCCTCATTAGAAAGAGATACCCCCCCACACACACACACACTTGTCTCCTTTAAGGCAGAATCGGTAGCACAATTTCAGCAGCCCTGAGTTCCTGGATGGGTGCCATCAAACTGCTATAAGGAAAGAAAAAGCTCAGTCTCTAACCATTAATAACTCCTGTTATGGAATTTGGTATTGACTGATGAGTAGGTTTGTCTTCCTCCTCTTCCTCCTCCTCCTCCTCCTCCTCCTCCTCTTTACTGTTATGAACATAAGAGAATTTTTTTTAATTTGATTTATATGCCGCCCTTCTCCGGAGACTCAGGGCGGCTTACCATGCGCTAAGCAATAGCCTTCATACTTTTGTATATTTATACAAAGTCAGCTTATTGCCCCCACAAACTGGGTCCTCAAATTCAGCAGCTGTTTGGCCAATAAATGAGTTTCAAGCCAAGATCAAGATGGCGTGTTTATTAAATGCAGACTTTAACTTGTAATTGCTATGTATAGCAGGGAAAACAAAAGATTAAATCTAAAATGGAGAGCTTTGGAAAATCCCCATCCTATCCAGTAGAGGGCACAATAACCTCTGAGAATCTCAAAGGGCCAATGGACTTGCCTGAAATGCAAAGAAGCCTCTTCAAACATTGACCCACCAAGCTTGCAAATGAATTGACCAACCTGCCTTCTACTAAGATTTATTCAGGCCGATTTTTTTCACCCCCGTCCTTGATTGTGAACCTTCTGGGAAACAGTCCCCATCCAAGGCTTCCCAGGCAGGAAGCGTCTGAAATCTAGTCCGTGCCTGATGGGGCTGTTTTCGCTTCTTTTGAGCCCTGCCAGACAGCGCAAACTGCAAAATGCAGGTGACGTAATTGCTGATGGGGCACACTGTGAGCAAAGGTCTCTCTCCCGCTCATCATTTTCAGCTCCATTAAAGATCCCGTCTGCAGCTTACAAATAGGAGATCCATAGGCTGAATAGGCTTCCTGATTTATAGCTAGCACCTTTCCAGAGTTCCTTCGCCAGTGACTGCATTGTTTAATCATATGCCAAAAGCATTTGTGAGCTCTGACATAAATGAAGGTGAGTTGCAAGTTTTGGCTGTTGTTGTCAAGAAAATTTAAGGTCCATGAAAAATTAATCAGCAACCAAAACAGAAAAGTGGGGAAAATGTTGCAAGCTGGACCAGAAAAGGTTTCCCCCTTATTTTCCTTCTTGAAGTGCAAGTTATTAATTTTTATGTGTTTACATATATTACTTCAGTATCTGTTTATGTGTGGGCCATTAAAATAAACTCTATAACACATTTTCTATGGGCTGCATATAATTTTCGTAGAATAAATTAGTACATTCATATGATTAAAGGCTCTTGGAGGCACGAAAGCTATTTGAATTAATGACTCTGGTATTTAAATAGATGTTTTCAAACACATTTTTCACAATGCCTACCTTCTGGAGCCTTGTGTGTTCACCTGTATGTAGACAGGGGAGGCCTTGGTTTTCAATCCTTCTAAAATTTTCTCTCTAATAACAAATCTTATTCTACTCCACTGAAGGACGAGATTACCCTAGATTTGCATGGTGTACGGTGCCATGCAAGGACATGATTTTTGGAAGGGGGTAGGGTTGTGCATGGATAGGTTAAGATACCCTTTCTGACCCCTGAAAGGCAAAACAAGAAAAAAAAAAGAGGAGACCAACACCTGAGGTCTGATCTAATTTGAAGGAGGTTCAAAAGCAGTGATGGTGTAGGAGAAGGACAGACAGAGCTGGGAGAGGAGTCAAGAGAGTCATCAGCCTAGAGTTATTACATTGCCACAAATGGTCTAAGCCCAACCCCTCTTGAATGCTGTTAATGTC